CTAAAACACCTCTCCCCACCTTTCTTCTCTCCCTTGAAGCATTTGGGCTGTTGCTTTCCCCTCCCACTTGCCTCTGCCACCACCAGCACCCTGAGGGGCAGCTCCCCAGCCTTCAGCCCACCCTACCTGAGCACAGCAGCCCCTTTGCCCAGGTCATATCTGTACTCCAGGTAGCCATCGTGCAAGGCCAGAGAGACAAAGTCCCCTTTGCCATCCGTCTTCTGGCCGTTGTAGAAGATCATGCCACTGGGGTTCTTGGCCAGGAACACCACTTCCATGGACATTTTGTCCCTGAGGAGAGAAGGATTATGGATACCCTCCCATCGGGTTGCCCACACGCCCTCTTCCTCGTGTGCCAAGCCCTTGGCAGTTCTCTGCTTGCCTGGGGCTATGGGTATGGCAGAGATGCCACCCTTGTAAGGCACTCTTGATGAGACACCTCTAGGATGCTGCTCCATGGTGCCTGTTTCCCCCAGCTTGCCTCAACACCAAGCAGCCAGGATGTGGTGCTGGCTCAGTCTGGCTGTAGAGGTTCTGGAGGTGCCAGTCTGGATAAAACCTCTACAGGAGGTGCCAGGAAGAGCTCTAGGGAGAGCCAGTGTGTGACAGGCAAGGCTCAGAGCCTGAACCAGCCACGATGTGCTCTCCTGCCCCTCTGCCACCCCCTGGCACTTACTGCAGGTCAGGCACGAAGGTCTGCAGCCCACTCAGCTCCAGGTAGGAGAAGCCATTGAACTCTGGGAGGAAGGGCATGGTGTGGTCCTGCTCCGTCACTGGGCACAAACGAGGGAATGGTGAGGAAGAGGAGGCAGAGCAGCTTCAACTAGTGCCCCAGAGCCACAGCAGCCAAAGCCACCCAGCCCCTCAGGCTGGGGAAATCAGCCCCTTCAGTCCCAGCCCCTTCCCTAGACCTACTCCTGTCCCACCTAGCTGGCAGAAGTCTCCTTCCCGGCCCATGGGACAGGCACACATGGCACCTCCCTCTGGCAGCACCAGGCAGGTGGCTGAGACGTGGCAGGGAGAAGGGTCACAGGGGTTCCTCTCGTCAGCACATGTTGGGCCTGCAGGAGAAAAGGCAGCTTGTCACCTCAGCTTGTCACCTCAGCTTGTCACCTCAGCATCCAAACCAGCAGCCATCGGGCAGGGTTGGGCTGGAGAGCAACATCTCTGATGTCTCCTGATGCCCTGCCAGCCTTTTCCTCCTCTCTCAAGTTGAGTTCATGACCCAAGAAGCCCCCTGGCAGCAGACCCCATCAATGGCAGATGACACCCATGCCAAACTATGCCCCTAAAACACAAGGGGAAAACCCTTCTGTGCATGAGAACCCACAGAACTTCTGTTTTAGCACTTCTGACCCTTGTCTCAGGTGCCGATGAGCAGCTCTACGTTCTCCACGTGACACTGTCCCCCCCAACACGGGTCCCAGAGCCCCCCCAGTACCTGTGTAGGTGTGGAGACACTCGCAGTGGAACATCTCGGCCTCCTTGGCGTGGCAGATGCCCCCGTGGTGGCATCCCTCCCCCCCCCCCCTGCCGTAGAGGACGTCGCTGCCCTTCTCCCTCAGGTCGTAGAGCTGGTTGTTGACATCCAGGAGGCGGATGCAGCCCCTCAACCCTGCCGTGGCCGCCGTCCTCTCTGCCACCCTGAGGGGACACGGGTCAATGTGGCATCCCCCCCAGGGCAAAAAAAACCACAAGAGACCTTCCAAGCGTCTGGGTCAGGCTGGTGAGGGGTGAGCCACCACCTCAACCAAGGGTGCTCTGCCTGCAGCAGTGGCAGGGAGAATCAGAGAATGGGTTTGGTTGGGAGAGACCTTGGAGATCATCAAGTCAAACTGTTGGCTCAGTGCTGCCGGGTCCCCACTGCCCCGTGTCCCTCAGCACCACATCTCCATGGCTTGGAGACCCCTCCAGAGATGAGGACTCCACCACTGCCCTGGGCAGCCTGGGCTGCCTTGACATCCATTTGGGGAAGAAATTTTTCATAATATATAACCTAGACCTCCCCTGGAACACAATCTGAGGCACTTTCCTCTTCTCTTATCACTTGTTCCCTGGGAGCAGAGCCCGACCCCCACCTGGCTCCAGCTTCCTGTCAGGAGCTGTGCAGAGCCAGAAGGTCTCCCCTGAGCCTCCTTTGCTCCAGGCAAAGGTGAGCTGCTCCTCCTCCCCCTTGAGCAGCTCTAGACCCTTCCCCAGCTTCACTGCCCTTCTTCGGACTCTCCCCAGCCCCTCAATCCCCTTCTTGGAGCCCAGAAGGAGCAGCAGACACCGGGGCAGTGCAGTGGTGCACCCCCCTCACTCACACAGCCATCTGGTCCTCGGGGGCACCCCCAATGAAGAGGTCAGTGTCCAGGTTGAGCCCATCAGTGCCTGGGGGGCTCTCCCCACTCACGTGGGGCTCCCCATCCACAGCCAGCACCCCGCTGCGCCGGTTCCTGTTCACCACCACCTGGTGCCACTTCCCCGGCTCCACACGGACCTTGCTGGTGATGATCCCCGTGCCAGAGCCCGTGTTGAACCTGCAGCAGAAGAGGAGGAGGGTCTGAGTCTGTGCCAACCCCTGTGGGAAAGGTGGGGTGCATGGCACAGGGGCTACTGCACCCCAGGGAGGAGCTGGGAGCACTCAGGAGCCCCCCCAACCTCCCTGCCCACCCCTGGAGCGTGCATCAGGAACATCAGGACTGACTGAGAGCACATCTGGGCTTGGCCACCTCCAGAGGTGTGCCCTCCACCTCGCCTCTTTCCAGAGCTGTGTGTTTGGGACTGGAAAAACCAGGACTCCACAAATTTCTGGGTTTTTTTTCCTCCCTTCCTTCTTCCCTTGCATTTCTTTTGCCAGGACAAAAACAGCACCAAAAAAAAAAGACCTCTTCCTTGCTCCAAAAAAATCATCATCCTCCCCCACCTTTTAGCTTCTCAAAATTCAAAGTGAAGTAAGTTTAATTTTGTTGAACAGAGGGAACGAGTCCCTTTAGTGTTCATATTGCCTTGGCAAGGAGCTCCTGCTCTTCTCATCCCCTTGATGCCACTGTTCCTAAATACCCATTTGATGCCTGCAACCTCAAGCCCAACCTCCTCTTGGTGTCTATTCTTCCTGAGATCACAGACTTCAGGACCATCACGGCTGCTCCTCTTCCTCCACCCCACCCAGGGCTGAGAGGGATGGGTGCCCACCTGAGCTCCACGAAGCCTCCAAGCAGTGCCAGGGAGATGAAGTCCTTGCCCCTGTTCTGCCCGTTGTAGAGCAGCAGCCCACTGAGCTCCAGGGCCCTGAACTCCACGGCGATGCGCACCGTGTGGTACGCCTTCAGCATCTTGAAGGCCAGGTAGGACTTGCCACCAAAGCTGGGGATGAAGTACCTGATGGCTGCAAGAGCCAAGGGAGGGGAGAGAAAGGATGAGGGGATGAAGCAGAGGAGGGGAGAGAAGGATGGAGAGCAGACAAGGGCTTGATGTGAGCCTGGGAATGTTTTCCTACCTGCACAAACTCTTGGGGAGTGCCAGAAAGAAGCTCTGGTGCAATCATCCCATCACTGCCTCCCAGACACTGGCTGCAGCCAGGTCCCCTCGTGATGGCCTGAGCCCAGAGATTGCTCCCAGGCTTCACAGTTCTGTACTACTGCTCCCCCAGGACTTAGCTTCAGCAGGGTCCCAGTCAGCTCCCCCCAGGGAAGGACCAGTGCTGCTGGTGCTGTCCCTGCCCATGCTCTCAGCTGGGCTCTGCTCCACACCCAGCTCCTCCTAACTCAGCTTCCCTGCTCCTTAGATAATTCTCATCTGTCCTCCCAGAACCCCACATGACAGATTTACACTCATCACTCCAGCTTTATGTATTGAAGCTGAGTCTTTCCAAGGGATCTGGATGGCCAAGCCCTATTAAAATGAACAGAGCTGGACACCCACATGCAGTAGGAGCTTTGAGTGCTCCAGCTTGGAGCCTTAGGGACAAAGCTTTTCAGGAATAAGCACTAAGAACCACCCAGAGCTCCAACCTGACACCAGCTGCCCATGGGAGCTCACAGTGAGCAACAGCAGCTCTGGTTAAGCACCCTGCCCAGGCTGCAGCTCTTCTCTGAGCCCTGGGAAATAGAGCCTGGATGACCAGCACACTTCTCCTGGTCTTCCAGAGGTCAGTTAGTACCTGTCAGAAGTGGAGCCAGGAAGAAATTGCTCCTGGCATGTTCCTACCCTGCAGCCTTGAGGTGCTTGCCTCTTAAAACGTCCACCTACAACCTCTTCTTGGCAGAACTAAGAACCTCCTGTGGCCAGAAATGCCAGTGGTCTCCTGGGGTGAATTGAGGAGACTGTGGCCAGCAGGTTGAGGGAGGTTC